TGACTGATCTGGGAGGGCAGATGCTGAAGTTCTGCTGGCCTAGTCCAGAGGAGGGATCAAGTGACAGGTGTGGCCGGACATGACACCTGAGGGCTAGGGGTGCAGGAGCAGGCCAGGTGGGGTCTCAGAGCTCTGAAGAGGACACAGTGACCCAGCACGCTCAGTGGATGGGCTTGTTCTGGCTTCAGGGCTGGCTCAGGCTAAGCCAGAAGTAGGGCGAGGGAGGCAGGTAAGAAGTCACTGCAAAGCACCTTCCTAGGAGCCCCGTCCAGGAAAACTGAAATCCGCCCCCTTATTTGCCGGCTGTTGGATGACCCTTGTCTTCCAGGAGGCATGTGAACTCAGTGGAGGGATTCTGACGGCACTTTGACAGAGATGGCAATGGGAATGTGGCCACCACTCAGCCAGGACAGAGCAGTCTCACCTCCTCCAGGAAGCCTTCCTTGACTTCTTCCTTCAATTCTCACAAGATCCTGTTTGTATGCTCTATTCATTCCCCACCATTCTGGAGCTTGCTTGTCTGTCTCTAGCAACAAATCGAAGGGTCACAAACTTCCTGATGGGACCCAGGAATCTTCATTGTTAGCAAACAGCACCTCCCCCAGTGAACTGGGTGTGGGGAGCTGCCAAACTACACTGTGAGAGTTGGTGTGCTCTAGAGCAGCACTGTCCAACAGGAAGGAGTACCATGAGCCACATACGGAACTTGAGGTTTTCTAGCAATCTCTCGAAAACATAAAGGGAAAAGATGAAGTTTGTTTAAAAAGAATTTTTATTTGTTACCTGTCTAACATAGTAACATCTCAGCGTGCAAACATTCTCACTTGGATTCTTCTCGTTTGCTTTTGGGCACTGTCTTTGACACCTGGTGCCTATTTTACGCTTGCGGTACATCTTGTTTGGGACTAGGCGCGTTTCAAGTGTCCAGTAGCCATGGGGCTGGGGGCTCCCACAGGACAGCACAGTCCCAGAGCTTGGCGAAAGCACTCCACAGCCCAGCAGCTGGACACCACCCACGAGGCTGGAAAAGATGCAGGATCGTGGCTCCTGCCCAGACCCTAAACCGGCCTGCTTTTCAGCTGTTGCCGCCGCCTCAGATGCGGGCGCGAGGTCGTGAAGCCCAGCTCTGAAGCCAGGTCGTGAGCGCCTGGCGTAGGCTGCGATTTAACGCACTTCCGGCGTCTCGTGGAAGGCCTGTCGTTAGGTGGCCATGGTACATGCTGGGGGAGAAAGGAACGATGCGTGGCTCCTACCTGCCCCGTCCTGCCCCTCTTCGCACCGCATCCCCCGTACGTGGTCATATTAGACACTCAGAATCTTAGGTCTGAGAGGGAATAGAGTCAGAGGACAGATCTCGGGAGACTCAGGTTCCTCTAGCCGGACTCCCTGAGGGCTCAGAGAGGTGCAGCAGCTGGGTGAGGTCCCGCAGCTCGGATGTTCGGCCGCCTTATTTGGAGAGAGGGTGATTCGGATGAGGGCCGATCACTCCACACCTGGGCGTGTGTTAGGCCTACCTTTCTCCTCAGACGTCTCAGTACCTCCTCCTAAGACCACAGAGCCATTGCTCCGAGGCCCCACCGGGCCTCCACAGAGTCATTATCTGTTTATGCTCAGTCTTCTCTTAGAAAATATTGAAGGAGGGCCAGCTGGTGCCCTGGTGGTTAAGGCAGCTGGATCCCACATGGCCTACTGCACAGTTCGAGTCCCATACCTGGTGGCTTGTGCAGGCATGCCCAAAATCCCAAGAAGAGAATGCAGGAGAAGGGGTTGTGACGTGCCCTTCGCCCTGGGGGGTACTTTCTCACTATCCCCTTACCAACTTCATCTCTTTCTGGCAAGCATACATGTCCTGTAACAAACTTTTAAACCCCCCAGACTAATAAAACTTTATTTAAAAAAAGAGAAAGATTTAATGGTCAGCAGGTGCCAGGGAGGTTAAGATGCTGGATCCCACACGAGCAACTGCACGGTTCAAGTTCAGGACCCGGCAGCTTGAAAATCACACCGGGAGCGTGTGTGTGCATGCCCAGAATCCTGAGAGATGAATGGAGGAGGGATTGTGGTGCGGCCATCCCCTCCGAGGGATGATTTCTCTTTTTGGCTCTCTGTCTCACACTCTCTTTCTCTCTGAGTATACACACACACTATAAAAAAAAAAACAAAACATCAAAATAGAAAGATCTAAGGCACTTATAAATTTGAATAGACTACGACCAGATAAAGCAAACATATAAAAGTACGTTGGTATTAGGAAGTGTGCCTAGGGTCACTGCAGTGTGACATGTCATAGAGACTGTGCCCCATCCACCTACGTCACAGTGGCTGCTGATGTAGAAGAATTCAGTGACATGGAGAACCCATCCATCAGATGGTATAAAAGCACTGATGAGTGTACTTAATTACACACGTGGGAGAATGCCTGGAAAGGAGAGGTACCCGCAAATGTTAATGTCGCTTTTTCAAGGGGAGAGATTATGAGTGGGTCTTACTCTGTGACCACTCAGTGCTTCTGTAATTTCTAGCTTTTACCCTCAGGGAACCTGAATTGCTTTACAATGCAGAGGTGAAGTTTGCAAAAACAGTATAGGGGTGAAGAACATGGGAAAGGAGCAAATGGGGGCTCTACTCTGTGCAGACTTTATTTGGACATTTCTGAACTAAGCGGACCCCGGTCCGGCAGTGGTGGCACAGTGGTAATGTAGCACTCTGTGATACTGCGCCCGCATGGGGAGGGCCCAGGTTCGCATCCGGAGGTCTCCCTGTGCAGGCTGGGTGTGTGCATGTGTGCCTGTGATTGGGGCTGCTGAGGCCGGGGGTGGATTGTGGTGTGGAGACTCCAAGGGGGGGGTGCCCCTCTCTCTCTCTGTCTCTTTCTTTGTCTCTTCCATAGAAGAAATAAAATAACATAAACTTAGAAAGGAAAAAAGAAAATTGTAAGTACAAGTTCCTGGTGCCGTGGCCCCCGCGGCTGCACTTACACGCTCAGGCAGTTATTAACTATTCGGAAGTTGAACTTACAGCGGTGAAAACTCATGAGCCAGCTTTCATTACATGTCCATCTGTGTTCAGGGAAGTGAAAGTTAATCATCGTGCCGTCTCGGTCTTGTTCTGAATGGAATCCACCAATGACTGGCCCTTCACAGATCCAAACAGCCTTTGTGTATTGTGTAATGATTGTAATGATTGTGCAAGAGGCCGTCCTAAAATCAGGAGCTAGAGCCAGGTGCACAGGTGGGTAGGTGGGTGGAAACACACACACACACGCACACCGATCTAACGTAGGACCACTCTTCACACCCCATTGCCACTACTTGGTCTAAGCACCATCAACAGGCTTCTAGCGGGTCTCCCTGCTTCCACCCTGTGGCCTGTTTTCCTCTGCTCAAAACCATTCAGGACTTGCCCTGCAGCCAAGATAAAGCCCAAGTCTTTACTGCAGCCTCCAGGGCTCTCCGTGAGGCCTGTCCTGCCTTTCAGATCTCGCACTGTCCCTCTGCCACTGCTCCTGCCACTCCAGCCACAGTGGCCTGTCCAAGCTCTTTGTACTTCCTGTTCCCCCTGCCTGGGACCTTCTCCATGTCAGTAAGGCTTTCTTTCTTGCCTCCTGCAAGTCTGCGGAGTCGCCATTGCTTAGTGAGGCCTTCCTCGCCACCCTGGGAGGAGTCGCAACCCCTGCGCTGCTCCAATAGCTTTTCCTGCTGCTTTTTCTCCCCTGATGTATGGCATATTTTCTTCTTCTATTTTATTTAAATTACTTCATCTTATTTATTGTTATGTTTTTAAATTTTGCTATAAGGCATGTGCACTCACCAGAGAGAGAGAGAGAGAGAGAGAGAGAGAGAAAGAGAGAAAGCAAGCCACTAGCTCCAAGACTCAAACTGCAGCCAGCCATGTGGGAGTCCAGTGTCCCAACCCCGATGCCACCAGCTGGCCCCCACATTTCTTTATTGTTTGTCTCCCTCCACCAGGGTGTAAATTCCCTGACGGCAGGCACGGTCTCTTTTCTGCTGTTTCCATAGTGCCCAGTGCTCTGAGTAGGTACTCAGTAAGTATGTGAAGGAACGGATGAGCCAGATACCTCTGACTGACCCTCTCCATTCTAGCAAGGACGCACGTGAGGCCTGGCCGAGACGGGCCCCAAGCCTCGCCCAAGGTCTGGCTCCCACGAGCTGGACCCCACCTGGCCCAGCTGGGGCAGCGAGGCCATATCCTGGCTCCTTCCAGCTCCAGTCCCCGCCTGTGCCTCAGAAGGGAGGTCAGCCACACATGGGGGCCCTGGCCTCGTCCATCCTGTCCCTTGTGTGTTTTTCCAGTTTATACAGAATTTTAGCCCAGAATAGCAGAAGGAAAACAGTTGTTCCTCCAGAGTCCTGGAAACTCTTCCAGTAGGTCCGTCCCTGGAAAAACAGCAGTGATCTCAGGGTGGGAAGGTAGGAAGTGGGGGAGGGGCCTTCCAGCAGCGGGCCGAGATGGATTTGGTTTTGCGATTAGAATAACATCTGGGTCTGTTTCCATGGAGTGGTTCTGGTGGGTGGGTGGTCTGTCTGAGGTATCAGGTGGGGCCTCCCTCCATTCCGGCCCAAGAGGGTTTGGGATGGCGGTTGGCGGCTGACCAGAGGATTCACCCAGCAGATGAAGTACGAAAGAAGGCGAGCCCGGGAAAGCCCTGGAAACCTGCCTGAATCTTGGCCCGAGAGCCTGCTGTCCCTGCCCCTAGCCTTGCTCAGAGGCATCTCCACACACCTTCCCCTTCACCCTCACCCACCCTCACCCGTTCCCTGACATTGTTCAGATGTCCCTTCTGAAGCACAGAGAGCAAGCGCCTGGCCCCCTCCCTCTCATGCCCTGTGTGGTTTATTAATCGTCTGTGAAATGAGGGATTTCAGGCCTCACTCATCCGTGTGAGGACAGTGGGGCCCGGAGCAGGGGAGCAGAGTGGGGAAGAGACGCCAAGGGCTATCAGACTTCTGAATCCTGTCCCTCTCTGTCTGGCTTCTCAGATGCAGCTTTTGGATAAGTTTCCCATCGAAGGTGGCCAGAAGGACCCCAAGCAGAGAATCATCCCCTTCCTTCCAGGTAAGCTTTGGGTGGCCCGACCGCGGGGCCGGGGACTCTGGTGAGAGGCATTCCTAAGGCCAAGAGAAGGCTGGAGACCAAGCTAGACGTTCCAGGTGGGCTGGCAGTCTGCACCTTAACAGTTCCCCATGGGGTTTGTGGAACATTCTGCCTCCTGAGAGGCACCTCCCGCATTGCACCAGGACCATCTCTGCTGACCCCTGGCTTGTACCCTCTGAGGAGTTTCTCAGGCTCTTGGACTTTGGCTTCCTTTTCACAAAAAAAGCACAGACAGACCAAGTTCTCCTATGGAGGGATGAAGAGCCCCGGTTGAACTGTCTCCTCCGACTCCCATTCTAATCACAGACAGCCTCAACCAGAGCGTGCACTCTGGCTCTGGTCTCCTTGGTCCTTGTAGTTGAGGCATCTTATGAAACGTGCCTTGAGTTGTCAGGGCCGGGATTTGAACCCAGGTCTTTCTGACCGTCAAGGTCAGTACCATTTGGAACGCGTTTAAGGCAAACAGTTATGTTGTGTAATTTGGTGGGAAACTCGGGTCTGTCATCTGGGCCGTCACTGTGCTGTCCAAGTTTGCGTAGCGCTGTACGGCTAACAAGTTCTCCCTCACTGGTGACTGTGTACAGCTTCGTACTGAGGTGTGCTTGGTCATTTCCCCTGAAGGATAAGGAAGCTGGGATTCAGAGAGGTTAAATGACTGCCCGCAACGTGGCAGAGCGAAGGCATGAACTAATAACTCCGGTCTCTTGTCCATCTGGGCTCTCCCCGAGCGGTACAGGTGAGGCTTCTCCAGGCTGTCTGAATTCTCTACTTTTCCCAAGCCAAAGGGCCTGGCTGGTCCCCAGGGGAGCCTTGAGTGCAGTGGGCTTCCCCCTGGGATAATGCTGGCCCTGGACCTCCATGGGCCAGCCTCTAGGACAAGGGCAATCAGCCCGACCTTTGCAAAAAGCAGGGTCTGCCCCTCGTTAACCCCTGGCATGCCGCCAGCCCACGTGGTTTAGCAGGTCAGAACGTTGTGTTGACTTGAACGTAAGCCTAGGATCACCTCTTTCAGAGAGTGGTTCCTCCCTGGAAGGTGTTTCTCGCACATTGCGCCATCTTCAAAGCAGCAGACGAGTCAGGTTCATTGCCTAGTGGTTAGAGAGTGGACCGCACATGGCTGACTGCAGTTTGACTCTTGGCCCCAGCAGTTTGAAAAACATGGATGGTGTGTGTATGTGTACGCTCAAAATCCCAGCAGAGTGGAGAAGTGGAGAAAGGATGACAGTGTGACCATAACCCATGCGGGGGGTTTGGTGGTGGGGGTGGTTTCTTTATCTCTCTGGCAAGCATATATGCTCTCCAGCAATTAAAAAAATAATAAAATAAAAATAAATAAATAATAGCAGCAAATGCCAAGAACACATTACCACCTTTCCTCAGCCTTACACTACAGTTGGAGCAATTAATTAGCTATAAGAAATGATTTCTAAATCCTACACACTGGACAAAGCCAGAACTACGCAGTGAGGGTGTACAGTTATAGGGGTCTCACGCCGGTGTCCTGCCATGGAGTCAGAGTCTGGCTTCTCTCTTCCTGGCCTAGGAGTTACGCTGAGGTGACTAGTGTGGCTCTCACTGTGTCTCGAGGGGATTTGTAATGGCCAACATCTGGATTTGTATAGCCTTCGATGCTGCCCAGGTAGGGCCTGCATGATGTGCTCGCCTCCCAGGGACCTGGGAGCACAGCTGGGATGCTGTGGGCACAAGTGTTCCAGAGACAACGCCAGGCCAGCAAGGTGCCCTGTCGTGAGTGGTGGCCTCGGGGCACGAAGGCTGCCTGTTGGCTCAAGAAGAATGGGCTGCTCTGGCACATCTCTCTTGGTCCACACCCCAGGGAAGGAGCACCTTGTTATTTGCTCAGTGGGAATTCATGAGGTACCTCTTGTGCCAGGCTGGTAGGGCAGGGATGGCTGAGTGAGTCAAGCACAGATTTGGTTTAATTTCCTTTATCAAGGAAATCTTAGGCTAGTTAGAGAAGATCTGCTCCATAATCAGGAATGGCTGAAGTAGGATGTGACCCCCTTGACTGCTATGGAGTTCCAAGTGTGATCGAAGAAGCTCAGAGGGCAGAGGTCCTACTGTGAGCTGGGGAAATCATGAGGGCCTCCTGAAAGAGGGGCCAAGAGCTGAGCCCCGAAAGGAATCCCTGACTCTTGGGTTACTGGTTGCATTAACTTCTCTGTGTTTCAAATTCCTCACCTGGAGAATAGGGCTGATCGTAGCATCTATTCCATGGGACTGTTGTAAGGATAAAATGAATTATTGGGAGTCTGGCTCTGTGGTGCAGCAGTTACGTGCTGCTCAGAAGCTGGATCCTTCATGGTGACCACGGTTCGAATCCCCAGCCCTGTCAGCCTGCGACTGGTGGGGCATGTACACAAGTGCCCAAGATCCAATGGGCTGCAGGACTGGAGGAAGGGGCTTAAGGTGTCACCTGACCCTGTGAAGGGTGCTCATCTCTCAGTAAATTAATGCATCCCAGGTGCTCAAAACTATGACCAGCTCCTGATCGGAGTGGAATAAATGTTAGCCATATCATCACTGACTCCTACGTGCCTGGCATTTTATACCGCACACTCGCATTTGTAAGCTCATTTCTGTCCCCCCTCAGGTGAGGTCCTGACCCTCACTTTGCTGACTAGGCAGTTAAGGCCAGAGGAGGCTAGTAGTCACGCAAGGCCGTGCAGCCGGGAAGTGAGGCCAGCCCTGGAACTCCTCCCCTGACTTCTGGGCCAGCGCTCCCTCCCCATCATCACCTCAGGAGATGAGGACCCAATAGCTGCTACTGGACTGGGAACCTCTCTGGACTCGTTTCCTCTGACAGGATTGCAGTGAGGACGAGAAGCATTCATGTGAAGCACCTTACACGGTGCCTGTCTTGTCGTACTGAACTCTCCGTAGGTGGCAGTTATTAATAAAGAAAGCCACCTCCTGCCCCCACCACGACCTGCTGGGAAGAATGATGCATGGGCACGGCTTCCAGTGTCACCCCCAGTGACCTGGGCATGGTGGGTGACACTGCTGGGAGGAAGGAGGCTGGCCTGCCCCACCCCGCCCAGCCTGAAGGAGAAGCCTCCTCTCCCCTGATGTTGCTTCTTTCC